ATAGACCATATGATAGGCTGCAAAACAAGTCTCAGTAAATTTAAGAAAAAAAATTATACCAAGTACTCTCTCAGATCACAGTGGGATAAAATTGGAAATCAACTCCAAAAGGAACCCTGAAAACTGTACGAATACCTGGAAATTAAATAATCTGCTCCTAAATGATCTTTAGGTCAACAATGAAATCAAAACAGAAATCCAAACATTCTTTGAACTGAACAGTAGTAGTGACATAACCTATCAAAATCTCTGGAATACAGCAAAAGTGGTGCTAAGAGGAAAGTTAATAGCATTAAATGCCTACACCAAAAAGTCTGGAAATGCACAATAGGCAATCTAAGGTCACACCTCAAGGAACTAGAGAAACAAGAACAAACCAAGCCCAAACCCAGCAGAAGAAAAGAAATACAAAGATCAGAGCAGAACAAACAGAAAAAACAATACAAAAGATAAATGAAATGAAAAGCTGGTTCTTTAAAAAGATAAAATTGATAGACCATTAGCAAGATTAACGAAGAACAGAGAAGACCCAAATAAGCTCAATTAGAAACAAAATGGGAGATATTATAACTGATACTAGAGAAATACAAACGATTATTCAAGGCTACTATGAACCCCTTTACACATACAAATTAGAACACCTACAGGAGATTGATAAATTCCTGGAAATATACAACCCTCCAAGGTCAAACCAGGAAGAAACAGAAACTCTGAACAGACCAATGGCAAGTAGTGAGATTGAAATGGTAATTTTAAAACTTACCAACAAAAGAAAAAGTCTGGGACCAGATGGATTCACAGCTGAATTTTATCAGCCATTCAAAGAAGAATTGGTACCAATCCTACTGAAACTATTCCAAAAGATAAAGAGAGAATCCCCCCTAAATCATTTTGTGAAGCTAGTATCACCCTAATACCAAAACCAGGAAAAGGCATAACAAAAAAAAAAAAAAAAAAAAGGAAAACTACAGACCTATATTCCTGATGAACATAGATGCAGAAATCCTCAACAAAATACTAGCTAACTGAATCCAACAGCATATCCAAAAGATAATACATCATGATCAAGTGAGTTTCATACCAGGGATGCAGGGATGGTTTAACATACATAAGTCAATAAATATACACTACATAAACAGAATTAAAAACAAGAATTATATGATCATTTCAATAGATGCAGAAAAGCATTTTACAAAATCTAGCATCACTTTATGATTAAAACCCTCAGCGAAATCAGCATAAAAGGGGCATACCTTAAGATAATAAAAGCCATCTATGACAGACCCACAGCTAGCATTATACTGAATGGGGGAAAGTTGAAAGCATTCCCCCCCAGAACTGGAACAAGACAAGGTGCCCATTTTCACCACTTCTATTCTACATGGTACTGGAAGTCCTAGCCAGAACAATGAGACAAGAGTTCACCACTTCTGTTTGACATAGTACTGGAAGTCCTAGCCAGAGCAATCAGACAAGAGAAGGAAATTAAGGGCATCCAAATAGATAAAGAGGGACTCAAACTGTTGCTGTTCACCAATGACATAATAGTATACCTAGAAAACCCTAAAGACTCATCCAAAAAGCTCCTAGATATGATAAATGAACTCAGTAAAGTTTCAGGGTACAAAATCAATGTACACAATGCAGTAGCACTATACATCAGCATTGACTAAGCTGAGAATCAAATCAAGAACTCAACCCCTTTTACAACAGCTGCAAAAAATAAAATACTTAGAAATATACCTAACCAAGGAGGTGAAAGATCTCTACAAGAAAAACTAGAAACACTTCTTAAAGAAATCATAGATGACACAAACAAATGGAACCACATCCCATGCTCATGGATATGTAGAATCAATATTGTAAAAATGACCATACTACCAAAAGCAATCTATCAATTCAGCGCAATTCCCATCAAAATACCACCATTCTTTGCAGAACTAGAAAAAAATCCTAAAATTCATAAGGACCCCCAAAAACCCCACAGAGCCAAAGCAAGACTAAGCAAAAAGAACAAATCTGGAGGCATCACATTACCTGACTTCAAACTATACTACAGGACTATAGTTACCAAAACAGCATGGCAGTGGTATAAAAATAGGTATGTGGACAGATGGAACAGAATAGAGAACCCAGAAATAAAGCCAAATACTTAAAGTCAGCTGATCTTCGACAAAGCAAACCAAAACATAAAGTGGGGAAAGAACACCCTATTCAACAAATGGTGCTGGGATCGTTGGCAAGCCCCATGTAGTATGAAACTGGATCCTCATCTCACCTTATATAAAAATCAAGTCAAGATTGATCAAAAACTTTAAGACATGAAGCCATAAAAATTCTAGAAGATAGCGTTGGAAAAACTCTTCTAGACATTGGCTTAGGCGAAGAGTTCATGACCAAGAACCAAAAGCAAATACAACAAAAACAAAAATAAACAAATGGGACCTAATTAAAACAAAAATCTGCACAGCAAAAGAAATAATCAGCAAAGTAAACAGACAACCCAGAAAGTGGGAGAAAATCTTCCCAAGCTATGCATCTGACAAAGGACTAATATCCAAAATCTACAAGGAACTCAAACAAATCAGCAAGAACAAAAGAAGTAATATCATCAAAAATGGGCTAAGTACATGAATAGACAATTTGCAAAAGAAGATATACAAATGGTCAACAGACATATGAAAAAATGCTCAACATCACTAAAGATGGAGGAAATGCAAATCAAAACCACAATGCAATAACCATCTTACTCCTACAAGAATGGTCATAATTAAAAAATGAAAAAATAATAGAGGTTGGCATGGATGTGGTGAAAAGGGAATACTTTTACACTGCTGGTGGATATGTAAACTAGTACAACCACTAAGGAAAACAGTATGGAGACTCCTTAAAGAACTAAAAGTGGAACTACCATTTGATCCAGCAATCCCACTACTGGGTATTTACCCAGAGGAAAATCAGTCATATGAAAAAGACACTTACATGTGCATGTTTATGGCAGCACAATTCACAACTGCAAAAATATGGAACCAGCCTAAATGCCTATCAACCAATGAGTGGGTGAAGAAAATACACACACACACACACACACACAACACACACACACAATGGAATACTACTCAGCCGTAAAAAGGAATGAAATTATGGCATTCACAGCAACCTGGATGGAGTTGGAAACCATTATTCTAACTGAAGTAACTCAGGAATGGAAAACCAAACATTGTTATGTTCTCACTTATAAGTGGAAGCTAAGCTTTGAGGACATAAAGTCATAAGATTGATATAATGGGCCTGGCTTGGTGGCCCACACCTATAATCCCAGCACTTTGGGAGGCCGAAGCGGGGGGATCACCTGAGGTCAGGAGTTTGAGATCAGCCTGGCCAACATGGTGAAACCCTGTCTCTACTAAAAATATAAAAATCAGCCAGGCTGATTTTTGATTAAAAAATGTAATGATACAAAAATCATTACAGTTGTGTGGTGGCACACACCTGTAATCCCAGCTATTCAGGAGGCTGAGGCAGGAGAATTGCTTGAACTCAGGAAGAAAAGGTTGCAGTGGGCCAAGATTGCACTACTGCACACCAGCCTGGATGAAAAGAGCAAAACTCCGTCTCATACACACACACACACACACAAAAGATTGATATAATGGATTCTGGGGACTCCGGTAGAGGGTAGGGGAGGGGTGAGGGATAAAAGACTACACATTGGGTACAGTGTACACTGCTCGGGTAATGGGTGCACCAAAATCTCAGAAATCACCACTAAAGAACTTATTCATGTAACCAAACACCATCTGTTTCCCAAAAACTATTCAAAGAATAATAATAATAAAAAAGATTTACATTTATAGTGTGCTTAATATCTTATAAAGTACACTTACCTCTATTATGTAGAGTAACAGATATTTTCCTTATGTTAATGGTGTATATTAGTGCATAGTATATACTATGTCTTTTGGTATAGCAAAATAACGTCATTCTGTTTAAAACACCAGTAAGGCCCTCATTGAGAAACAATGTTGGATCATGAGCTGTGAACATTCATGGGTAAAACATTAATTTCTCTCTTTAACAACAAACTGAGCTCTTTTATCTCTCTGTTGCCAATACATGGCCTAGTACCTGAAACAGAGTAGGTGATCATCAAATATTTGATAAGTAACTTAAAAATAAGACTGGAAATCAGAGTTTTAGCAATCTCTGTGTGTGTGTGTGTGTGTGTGTGTGTGTGTGTGTGTTTTCTAAGTTTTTTGATACCTCCAACCTCTGGAACAACTCACTTCCAAATAAATTTGTAGATAGTCACTGAAAATAAGAACCATCTTGATTTGTAATTATTTTCCATTATAGCTTTGATTCTTGTACACAAATTGGACTTAACCTAGAATTATTATTTCTGCATTAGAATAGAACTTACAAGCTATCTAATTCATCAAATTAGTTTTTATCTAATTCTCCTTATCTCTTGGTTTTATTACTTATATACACATTTGTATTTATATTGCTTTTCCTTGGGAACTTTATAATTGTTTTTATATCCATATTAGGTTGAAAAATATGTTATAATGTCTCACAACTATTTGATTTTATATTTTAACATTGATGATAAATTTTCTCTGCACAGTCTTCAAAACATCTTTCTCTGGTTAAATGGAACAGCAGTGACATATAATCGTTGTCTAGTTTATTCTTTAGATTTTATTACAGAAGATATACTATAGGTTGGTCATGTTTTAATTAAACCACATGCTAACATTTCATGTTGTAATAAAAAACTGACTGTAGATTATTTTTATACTCAATAAGTCATTAGAAGAGCACATTAGACAAATTTTCATCCAAAGCAATATTATTTATTTAAATATAAAAATAAAAACATGGTCTAGGTAAATGTTAGTAGCAACTCAATATGTCCTCTAAGAATTGAAAGTAAGTGTTTCTAAATGCAAATAATTCTTCTTTTCTTGCTAAATATGTTTTTGTTTTTTCAGAAGTCTAGGAAATAGGAATTTACTTACTAAATGCCCTACTGTAATTATGGATGAAGATTGTAGAAGCATGGATGAAATAAGACAGTCAGACTACATTACTGAAAAACACTCCATACAGCATATTTGGAGGAAAAATGGAAAGAAAGTTTCAAATTTTCTTGAAGATGTGAACCAGTCTACTCCTAACTTTCTATCAGAGAATTCTGACTCTTTTGTTAGTCAAAATATGATCAATGTATTAAACATAGATCAGCAAAAGATAAAGAAAACATTTAACAAGTGTGATTATGATAGTATGGGAGATATTTGTGTAGTCACTCATTCTGATAAAAACCGTGTCACTGACAGATGCATTAGAAACATTTTTACAGTTCCAGAGTTGACTTTTAGTAATTCAACTTTGAATAAAACAAGTTATCCAGAAAAATGTCAGCCAAACAAGAAGAATCAGAGAGAGTACAATAAAAATGAAAGAAATGATCTTAGTACATCTTTTGAGAACGATTACTACCCAAGCAGCTCTGAAAGAAAAGGTTGGTATTGTACATGGAAAATGTAATTACATATTCTTTTTTTCTTTCAGTTTTAGTATATATATTTGTATATCTATATACGCACACATCTATATATTTGTATGTGTGTTTATGTGTTTGGAAGAAAATGAAACCAAAAATAGAATGGCTTCCTATTATATAACATTGTGGACCAGTGGTTTTCCTCTGTACATGTCATGTTAATATTCTTTGAATTAAAAAAATGAAAATAGACTATGCTAAATTTTTAACTCAGTGCATACTTTTATTTTTTAAGGAAAACTTGAAAATGATTACCAAGAGAAGACACCACAGAAAAGTATTCAGAAATATCCAGCAAACTCTATGTAAGTTTTTAGGGAAATCTGGGGAATACAAATCAAGATCTAGTATGATGCATGATGAAGGTTGAATTGATGCAAAGTGAGGTAGGCGTATTGCCATCTGAGGGTGGGCAGGCAACTTGTCTCAAAGCAGTCTTACCAGGAGTCGTAGTGTTGATAATATCACCCCAGTTGAGAGTGTGGTGCTCATATTTACCAGCTCCCAAATACTTTCTTATCTGAATATTAGTGTTGATTAGGTTTGAGGAAACTGACTTAATGCGTCCAAGAAACTCATATCTGCCAGAATATCAATTTATTAACTTAAAGTAATAAATAGAAAGGGAACATGTATAGGAAGTCTGACATGAAAAAGCATGTTTTCTTACTTTCAGACAGCTCTCAATGGGAAGGTTTCTTGCTTGGTTGGTATAGAATCACTACAGGGAGTGATAGAATTCAGATGTTAGTGGCATAAGGAAGCATATCAGCAGTTTATAGGACAGTGTACATTTTAGGGATAGAGCACTCTCCTCATTGCCAACATTTACCTCTCAGAGACTCCATGTTTTCTCCGTGTTCAAGATTACAATCTCCTCTACCCATACATTGAAAACAGTTATGTTATACCAGATTTTTCTTTCTCTTCTTGCAGCTGGTGTACAAAATGTTCTGAATTTAAGGAGATTTTTACACTCATCCATTATGTGTTGATATTAAATTTATTCCTTAGAGTTTGGAAGCTGCCTTCCAGACTTCTGTGAATACTGGCCTGCAATTATAAGTAACTAAAGAAAACTTTATTTTAGCTACTAGTTTCTGAATAGTCCTAACTTTCTTGGTAATAATTGCAATTTAGACAAATCTTTCTGATTGGAAATCGTGAACTAGAATAAATTTTTATTCTGGAAGTGATTTCTTGTGGAGTTATTAAAAATATTGATTGATAAAACGATGTAATTTTAGTGGGATTGGCACATACACATTAATTAAAACATAGACTTACAAAACATTTCATAAAATTGACAACTTTGTATCTTTGTTGTTAAATCTCCCAATATCTAGAAATTTATGAGTGAAAAAATCATGTTAGGCCTTGAGTTTTAAATGTACCTTATGAAAGCAATTTAGAACATGGTTCTCAATCCTGACTGAAGGTCCAGATTACTTGAGGGAGTGATTTTAAACTATAGAATACCAAGTTTGACCTGCACATAATAGGTGGGCTCTTTGGCCTGGAGCTTATGAATCTTTATTTTTAAGAAAGCTTCCCATATAATTCCGATCTGAAGCCAAGTTTGGGAACTCTAATTTAGAACATTAATTCCCAGAGGGAATACAACAAACTTTAATACTGTGTATTTATAATCCTTAGGGGAAATATACCTTCAGAAGAATTGCACTATAAGCAGTCATGGGACTTGGGACTTGATGAGGTAAAGCACAGTCTCACATTATCTTCTCAATTAAGTCAGTTTGTATTACCATATCGTATTACTGTATTTAGCGTTCACTTTGATTTAAGATTAACATTTATTCATTAATTTTTTGGGATGGACTCTTTGTCTTACACTTTTTTATTCTGAGGAAATTATATTTTAGATCTAGCAATAAAAACGTTTTCAGAGACTGTTACATGCTTTATATGAGACAAAACAATCTTGAGGACATTTTAAACACATTTTTTAAGTATTACAAAATTTCTGTATTAGTTCATTCTTGCATTGCTATAAAGAAATACCTAAGACTGGGCAATTTATAAAGAAAAGAGGTTTAGTTGGCTCATGCTTCTGCAGGCTATACAGGAAGCATGATGATGGCATCTGATTGGTTTCTGGGGAGGCCTCAGGAAACTTTTAATTATGGCAGAAGGCAAAGGGGAAACAAGGAGTCTCACAAGGCAGCAACAGGAACAAGAGAGAATGAGTAGGAAGGTGCCACAGACTTTTAAATGACCAGATCACAGGAAAACAAACTCACTAGCATGAGGACAGCACCAAGAGGGATGGTGCTAAACCATTCAAGAGAAATTGCTGCCCTGCCATGATCCAGTCACCTCCCACCAAGCCCCACCTCCAACACTCAGGATTATAATTTGACATGAGATTTGGCAGGGAGATAGATCCAAACCATATCTTTCCACCCCCAGCCCCCCAAATCTCATGTCCTTCTCACATTGCAAAATAAAATCATGCATTTCCAACAGTTCTCCAAAGTCTTAACTCATCCCAGCATTAGCTCAAAAGTTCAAAGTCTCACCTGATACAAGGCAAGTCCCTTCCAGCTATGAGCCTGTAAAATCAAAAACAAGGTAGTTACTTCCAGGATTCAATGGGGGCACAAGCATTGGGTAGATATTTACATTCCAAAAGGGAGAAATAGGCCAGAAGAAAGGGGCTATAGGCCCCATGCTAGTCTGAAACTCAACAGGGCAGCCATAAGTCTTAAAGCTCCAAAATAATTTCCCTTGGCTGTATATCTCACATCCAGACACACTGGTGTAAGAGGTGGATTCCAAAAGCCTTGGGCAGCCCCGCCTCTGTGGTTTTGAAAGGTTCAGCCCCTGTGGCTGCTTTCGTGGGCTGGTGCTGAGTGCCTGTGGCTTTTCCAGGAGTTAGGTGCAAGCTGATGGTGTATCTACCATTCCAGGGTCTGAAGGATGGTGGTCCTCTTCTCATGGCTCCACTAGGCAGTGCCCCATTGGGGACTTTGTGGGAGGGCTCAATCCCACATTGCCCCTCCACTCTGCCCTAGTAGGGGTTATCCATGAGAGGTCCACCTGTGCAACAGACTTCTGCCTGAACGTCTAGGCTTTTCCGTACATCCTGTGAAATCTAGGTGGAGTCTCTCAAGCCTTAAATCTTACACTCTGTGTACCCACAGGCTTAACACCACATGGAAGGTTCAAGGCTTACAGCTTGCATCCTGTGAAGCAGCAGACTGAGCTGTACCTGGGCCCCTTTGAGCCATGGCTGGAGCTGGAGTGACTGGGATACAGGGAGCAGTGTTCTGAGGCTGCACAGAGCAGCAGGGCCCTGAGCCTGGCCCAGGAAACCATTCTTCCCTCCTAGGCCTTCAGGCATGTGATAGGACGGGCTGCCATGAAGGTCTCTGAAATGCCATTGAGACCTTCTCCCCATTGTCTTGGCTATTAGCACTTAGCTCGTTTTTACTTATGCAAATTTCTGCAGCCTGCTTGAATTCCTTCCTGGAAAATGGGCTTTTATTTTCTACCACATGGCCAGGCTGCAAATTTTCCAAACTTTTATGCTCTGCTTCCCTTTTAAATATAAGTTCCAGTTTTTTTTATCATTTCTTTGCTCACACATATGAACATAGGCTGTTCATATAAAGCAGCTGGTCCATGTCTTGAATGCTTTGCTGCTTAGAAATTTCTTCTGCCAGATATCCTAAATTAATCACCTTCAAGTTCAGAGTTCCACAGATCCCTAGGGCAGGGGCACAATACTGCCAAGTTCTTTGCTAACACATAACAAAAGTGACCTTTGCTCCAGTTCCCAATAAGTTCCTCATTTCTATCTGAGACCTCCTCAGCCTGAACTTCACTATCAATATCACTACCAGCATTTTCAGCCTTTTTTGTTATAACCATTCAACTACCAGTCTTTACGAAGTTCCAAACTTTCCCTTATTTTCTTCTTGTCTTCTTCTGAGCCTGCCACATTCTTCCAACTTCTGCCCATTACCGAGTTCCAAAATTCCTTCCACATTTTCAGGTATCTTTATATCAAAACTCCACTCCTGGTACCAATTTTCTATATTAGTCTGTTCTCACATTGCTATAAAGAAATACCTGAGACTGGGTAATTTATAAAGAAATGAGATTTAATTGGCTCACGGTTTCACATGCTGTATAGGAAGCAGGATTGTGGCATCAGATTGACTTCTGGGGAAACCTCAGGAAATAACAGTTATGGTGGAAGGTGAAGTGGGTGTGAAGCATCTCAAATAGCAAAAGCAGGAGCAAGAGAGAGTGAGGCGGGAGGTGCCACACACTTTTAACCAACCAGATCTCATGAGAACAGACTTCAGTATTGTAAAGGAAGTACCAAGGGAGAGGGTACAAAACCATTCAGGAGAAACTATTTCCCATGATTCAGTCACCTCCCACCAGGTCCCATTTCCAACACTGGGGATTATAATTCAACATGAGATTTGCTGGGGGGCATCCAAAGATCCAAACCATATCATCTTTCAACATGAAAATGCTTTGGGTTTCAATCTACTACATAATTTTATATTTGCCATACTATTGAAATATCTATAAACACTGGTTATGTAATATTATAATCCCTTGCTATCATAAGGTTGTAATTTTTACAATAGTGCTAGGAACTTTATGTAGTTTATTTCTAATCTATAGGAGCCTGAGTTGCTAAAGTCTTCACAGCAAAAGAGATTGAAATTTAGAGAGATTAGATAACTTGTTTGAGGTCACACTCTCAAGCTAAGATTCAACTATCTGTCTTATCTGATTTGATATTTTCAGCTATACTGTTTTCCCTTTTTTCTTCAATAAATATTTATTGAGTACATATCATGAATTCATATACACTTATTGAATGTTTCCTGTGTGCTAGACACTGGGGATAAAATGGTGCTTTGTTCTCAAGATTATATTCTGTTTGCACTAGACTCTGCAAGGTACAGAGATGAAAGGACATGCAACCCGTCTTTAAGAAGTCTTCATCTAATGGCTAGTCAGAAAGAGACAAAAATATAATACATTTAGATCAACTGCTTGAAGTTTGTTTTGGGTTATTAGTAAAAGACACTTCTAAGTTTCATGTGTAAACAGGAGGAAGATGTGATGGAGGAGGTAACTTTTGAGCACAGTATCAATAAGTTGTTTACCAAATGGTCAAATTGTGAAGAAGGAGCAACATAGATAAACTAAGATGTCAGAGTACAGCCTGTTTTAGAAATTTCAAGTACCTTGTTTCATTCTAGTTATTGTTATAGCTACTATTTATAATACTAATGATAAGAGGCGCAGGAGTGGCCTAGGTAATTCTGGACAATACAAAGAGGCAGGTCATAAATGGCCTTGTATGATATATAACAGTTTAATTCTTGATTGTTGGTTTTTATTTTTATTTATTTATTTATTTATTTTTGAGACGGAGTTTTGCTCTTTTTGCCCAGGCTGGAGTGCAATGGCACGATCTCAGCTCACCGCAACCTCTGCCTCCTGGGTTCAAGCGATTCTCCTGCCTCAGCCTCCTGAGTAGCTGGGATTACAGGCATGTGCCACCATGCCTGGGTAATTTTGTATTTTTAGCAGAGACGGGGTTTCTCCATGTTGGTCAGGCAGGTCTTAAACTCCCGACCTCAGGTGATCCACCCGCCTCGGCCTCCCAAAGTGCTGGGATTATAGGCGTGAGCCACCGCGCCCGGCCAATTCTTGATTGTTAAACAGAGATCCACTAAACAAATTTTAGCAGAGGAATATGATGATGTCAGAGTAATAAAAAAGTTGACTCTAGCAACAATGAGGAGGGATTTGATAAGTGGAACAACTCAAGTTAGGGGAAGAAATAATGAGAGCTTGAAGTTTTATAATAGCAGTAAGGATGAAAGTGAGAGAAGAGAAGATTAGCTCTAGAATTGATAGTACTTGGTGATTGGTGATTAGTTAAGGAAGAAGGAAGAAATTGAGGAAGACCTAGATTTATTTATGATTTGAGTAAATGGGTAGTTGATGGGATTGTGCTACTGAACGAGATTGAAACCATAGGAGGAGGTGGCAGGAAAGGTTAACTCCATCAAAATTCATGTACCCTTTTTTGTAGAATGTACCCTTTTTAATAGAATAGAGCTACCACTGTGAAATGGCTTCCCAGCCAAGGAACATGTTTCCTAACCATCCGTCCATGTACATGTGGCCATATGGCTAGATCTCACTAATGAAATATTAGGGAAAAGTGATGTGCATCATTTTAGGTCAAGGCTTATAAGAAAAGGGAATTATTTTTCCATGCTGTCTTTCTTTTGATGGCTAGATGGTAGTGAGGCCCCAAGGGATAATGGAGCCACAAGATGGAAAGGACTGGGTCTCTGAATCACTACATGGAGGCAAATTGCCTGCTTACCAGAAACACTCACTTTAGATTATTACACAAGAGAGAAATGATTGTGTTTAGCATTATACATTTTGTAATATACTTTTTAAAAACAATACCTAACATCACCCTGATTCAGAGGAGGAGCAGATTTCTGAGAGAGAGAAGTTTGACCCACTGAGCTCAAGTGAGGATCTTCTGAAAAACCTGTGATCTATGTGGAGATGTATAGTAGACAATTATATATACAGGGCTTGAGGTCAGAAGAGATTTTTTAGACTTTAATGAATAGGAGATAATTGACTACATCCAAGTGTATGATTCTCGAGAGAAAGTGTATAGAATAAGAACAAAAATTGTCAAATTCCTGAGAAGGCACATTTCAGGTTGGAGGGTATGAAGTAGAAGAGGAACCAGAAAAGGAGGCTGAGAATGAGCTACTAGAGAGGTTTGAGGAGTACTAGTGTCATAGGAAAGAAAAAGGAGGAGAATGTGGTCAGTAGTGTTGGAAGCTGTCCTGTTATTCTTTTAAATAATTCATATTTTCCCAAATATGAATAATATAGATTTATCCTCCCAAAATATGAATTATCAGCAAAATATAATACTTCAAAAACAAATTCTATTTGACTACACCTATGTCTAGAAAGCTGGCAGCTTGAATGTAGCTAGAACTAGTCAGAAAAGAAAAAAGTCCATTGGTGTAGCCCAAGGGGAATCAGGTGCTATGAGGAATTCTTTGGGTAGAGCAGGTGTGGGGACTTTTACATTGTGATGCCTGGCCATGGCCAAAGGTGCAGTGGAACCCTGACTAAAATTAGGTTCTACCAGAGGGGCCAAGGCAGGAGTCACCAATGGGATGGAATGAAGGGGTAGGAGTAGAAAGAGGGCTGGGTTGCACCTGCCCATGGGTTAGGTAAAATTAAAACAGGTAGCTTCTGCTAAGGAAGAATTGATGAAGAGACATACAGGCTAAAACAAGCAAACAGAACAAGCCTCTTGAATGGGGACGTGTGTTGTTCTCAAGAACCTTTAGTGGGAGTGGAAGAGAATAGGAAAGAACAAAGTGTTGGAGGAGTATAATTATTTAATTTTAAAGGTTTAGTAGAGGAATAAAGTTTAAATACAATTGTTAACATGGGAAGGTAATCACTAGAGAAGTGGCGCCGTGGTAGAACAAAATTCAAGAGTGATGATGTCACACTAGGAAACCTGATCAAGATGGGAAGAAATGAAATAGCAATTCTATATACAGTGTAAGGAATGAAACCCACTTAGCAATTAACATATTGAATATGAATAAATATATTGAACATGAATTCTTTTCAATATTCAAAGAATATCAAATTATGGAGAAAAAATCAATATAGTTTATAAGCAGCGTATCTAGAATATAATAAAGGTTGAAAGCAAACAGATAGCGATATACATACATTAAGAAAACATATATACTATTGGAGCAAAGACCATATAAATGCAATAAAAAGCCCATTCAGAAAAGAGAAAAATAGGAGATGCAGATTTTCTGATCCACAACAACTATAAAATCCTGCTGGGTATGCATTGTGAAGGCTTGCCATCCTGGAGGATGGAGGACGTTCGTGAATAACTTAGTGTCTTGTCCTTTGGGAAGATCTTTGCTGTCCTTCTCAAACAGATCTGAAGTAGGTAGTGGAGTGCAGACCTGCCTTGGGGTCTCCATAGCTTTCTTGAAAGTTTTGTGTTCTTGTTGCAAGGGAGTTGAATGTGTCATGAGTTGAAGAGAAAAGGTTTTTAAATGATAAGATAGAGGGGTTAGGGAAGGGGCTCTGCTTCATGTAGTTATTCAGGCCCTAAACTGGTGGCTTCCAGTTTATTGTCACCAGAGAGCAGAGGGGAAAAGGAAGTGGAGGATTGTGGGGAAGATTTTTATGGACCAGGACCGGCAGTAGTATACATTACTTCTGCTTATGACCAGAACTTAAGTAACATGTCTAAACTAATTCCAAGGGAGGTTGGGAAATACAGTCTAGCTGTATGTCCAAGAAAAAGGGAGTCAGGTTTGGGAAGCAGCTAGACAGTTTCTCCTTTATTCTATATATGTAAAATTCTATATCCTACTAATAGAGAATATATAGAAAAAAATTTTTATAAGCCCATGGTACATTTGCAAACATAATTCATATAGTAAGCCATAAAGAAAATCTAAGAAATTTATCTAAGGAGAGATTCATAGGTACATTCTCTAATCAAAATTTGATAAAATTGAAATCAACTAAAAAGATACTTAACTTCCCTTAACATCCTGGAAATAAAGAAACACTCAGGGTTTCTTTGCTTTGTTTGAGAAAGGAAATGAAAATAAAGTACAAATACATAGAAAGTGATGGAAACCAAAACCAAAGGTGTGTTCTATATAAATTTATACCTCTAAGAGCTTTTATTATTTTAAAAACCTGAAAACAAATGACTGATGATCTAACTTAGGAAATTAAATAAAGAATAACAAATTTCCAAATTGCCTTAATATGTTTGTCTTTGTTCAGCTGCATTTACTATGATTATCTGAAGCTTTTCCTTTTTCTCAGTAATTCATTTCTTGGCAAGTGTCTCTTCTGTTGCTTGTTGTTTTAAAACCAATTTAAATTTCATTTTATTGTTCACCACAGGCTAATTTTTCTTTGTGATTTAAAAATAAACCATGTTGGCCGGGCGCGGTGGCTCAAGCCTGTAATCCCAGCACTGTGGGAGGCCGAAGCGGGTGGATCATGAGGTCAGGAGATCGAGACCATCATGGCTAACATGGTGAAACCCTGTCTCTACTAAAAAAAAAAATAAAACATTAGCCGGGCGTGGTGGCGGGCGCCTGTAGTCCCAGCTACTCGGGGGGCTGTGGCAGGAGAATGGCGTGAATCCAGGAGGCGGAGCTTGCAGTGAGCCGAGATGGTGCCACTGCACTCCAGCCTGGGGACAGAGAGAGACTCCATCTCAAAAAAAAAAAAAAAAAAAAAAAAAAAAAAAAAAAAGTTGAACTGAAGTAATGTAAAAGAAAAGTACTATAAAATGAATTGGTGGTATAAATAGGGTAGATATAAGTGAATATTATTATGTATACTTAGGAATTGTTAACATTTTGGTTTTCTCCTAGATTCTGATGGAAGGAGGAGGAATATGCTCTTTAAAAAGCAGGCCAACATCTACTGAGAAAATCTGTCAGTATAACTGTATAAGTTAATTTTACTCTATTTTAAAAACTAACAATTAAATAGAAATCAGTTAAATTTGAAGTGATTTTTTGGATGTTTGCCAACAAATATATATCATGGATATTTTAGTACTGCTAATGCAATTGACTCTTTAAAATTACTTTTATATTTTATTAAATATACATAATGAGTACATTAATGTATATGTACAGTTTAGCAAATAAGAATAAAACAGATAACCCTCATACTCACTAGGTAGCTTAAGAAATAATACATGATACTTCTGAAGATTTCTTCTTTTGTATTTCATATCCTACCCTCTAGAGGTAACTATTTTCTTGAATTTGTTTTTTGTTATAACACAGACTTTTTAATTGCTTTATTTTGAACTTTCTAGATATTGATCCAACTCTATATATTTTTCTGCAACTTGCTTTTTTTTTCCACTCAGTATTATATTTTGTGGTTCACCTGCTTTGATACTTGTAGGTCTAGTACATTTATTATTTTTCCTGCTATACAGCATTCTATTGTATGAATATATCACAATTTATGTATCTTCTAACAATGGATATTTAGGTTGTTTTGAATATTTTGCTTACGTTGTTTCGAATATTTTCCGATGAAGAACAATGCTACTTGGACTATTATTGACATTTTTCCTTGCACACATGTATAAAAACTTTCTCTAGGATATATTTCTAGGAATAGAATTGCTAGTTCATATGGTATGCACTTCTTTGCATCTTCAAGGTAATGCAAAATTATTTTCCTAAATGGTTATGCCAGTTGTACCCCTCTTAGCAATGCATAAGAGTCTTAGTTGTTACATGTTTTCACCAACAATATCTCAGTCTTTTATAATTACTGGTAATCTGATAGCTCATTGTAGTTCTAATTTATATTTCTCTGACTACTAATTAGGTTAACTGGCCATCGATATTTCATTTGTGAAATGTCATTTGCTCATGTTCCTTTTCTGAAGTTTGGTTTTCTTTATGGGATGTGTCTTTTATATGTCTATATCTCCTATATATATTTTATGTGTCCTGGATACTGACTGCTTGTAGGCTTGTGTGTAGCAAATACTTCATATTTGAGTAATCTTTTAATTCTATACTGTCTTTTTACAGACAGAAGTTTCATGTTGATCTGGTACTCTTTTAGGTATTCTGTGATAGCATAGTCCTTCATGTTATCTAGTCTGATGGAATACCTTGAAACTTTTTATAATTTAATTTTTTGAATATGTAAAATACTAGTCTGGTTTCTGTCCTTATCGTCCCTGCCCTATTTCCTTCTGTAACATGAGTATTTTTTTTTTTTTTTTTGCTGCTTTCTGGTTTCTCATTCCAGTCCATTTAAAAAAAAATAAATCCCAAAAATATATAAACACATACATAACCATGAGTCTTAGTTTCCTGCCTTTCTCATTCTAAATGTAATATAGAATATTTTATAAAAGAATTAAGTGAATTCATTTATTTAAGAAAATATCCTATAGATTCCTCTGTGTTAGTGCTAGGTATTTCTTCATCCTTTACGTATGACCATTTAGTAGTCCATTACATGCATGAACTGTAGTTTTTTCAGTCAATGCCCTATTGATGGACATTTGGGCTATTTCCAGTATATTTTTCTTACAAATACTGTTTAAGTAAACAACTTTGTGCAATGTTTCTTATTTGTGAAAGTACATTTTCAGGGTAATTTCTGGGAGGGACATTGTTGAGTTGAAGGAGAAATATGCTGGTATTTGATAGATATTGCTGAATTTCAATTTTGATATATGTATATTTCCAAGTTCCTTGTGTCACCATTTGGCAATTCCATTAGCAGTGTATATTTTATTCCACAGCCTCACCAACAGGGATTGTGGTCAAATTTAGGAATTTTGCTGAGTCTCGCAGGGGGATGGATAGATAGAAGTTTTCGTTTGCACTTCGCTATGTGTGAAGTTGAGCATCTTTAAAAAATGTTCATTGGCTATTTGCGATTCTTTTTCTGTGAATTCTCCATTCACATCTTTTGCCCCCTTGGGTTTTGGCATTTTTTTCCTTGATATTTAAGAGATCTTTAAGAGATATTAAGAGATCTTTAAATATTAACAAGATGTAGATGAGGGGTGAAACAAGATGGGGGAATAGAAGACACCACCCACAAGCACACCAATTTAACAACTCTCTACACACAAAAAACACCTTCCTAAGAACCGCGTAAGAGCACTCATAGTACCTGGTTTTAACTTTGCATCACTGAAAGAGGCACTGAACAAGTAGGAAAAATAGTCTTGAGTCACTGACGCCACCCTTCCCCCATTCCCTGGGAGTGGGACACAGTGTGGAGAGTGATTCTTTGTACTGGGGAGAGGGACAGTCAGTGTAGCAATTTTGAGGCATTGAACTCAGTGCTGTGTTGTAACAGAAAGCAAAACTGGACCAAACTCAGCTGATGTCTACCCATGGAGAGAGTATTTAAACTATCCCTAGCCAGAGGGGAATTGCTGATGCTTGTGGTCAATACTTGAATTTGCATAAGCCCTCCTATTATGGGCTAAAGTGCTCTGGTGCTCTAAGTAAATTTGAAAGGCAGTCTAGGCCACAAGGACTACAACTCCTAGGTGAGTCCTAGTGCTGAACTAGGGCCAGAGACTGTGGACTGGGGATGGCATGTGTTCTATTGAATCACCAGTTGGGGCAGCTAAGGGAGTATGGCAGTCACCCCTCCCTTAACCCAGACCACTCAGCTTGCAGCTCCAAAACAGACCCCTTCCTTCTGCTTGAGGAGAGGAGAGGGAAGAGTGGGGAGGACTTTGTCTTACATCCTGCATACCAGATTAGCCACAGTAAGATAGGGCACAGGTCAGAGTCATGATGTCCCCTTTCCAGGCCCTAGCTCCAAGATGACATTTCTGGACACTCTTTGGGCAAGAAGGACACCTATATCCTTGAAGGGAAGGACCCAATCCTGGCAGGATTCATCACCTGCTAACTGAGGAGCCCTGGGTCCCTGAGTAACCATCAGTGATATCCAGGGACTGCATTGAGGGCCTTGGGTGAGACTCTGAGACTTGGTGGCATCAGGTGAGTCTCAGTACATTTCCAGCTGTGATGGCTATAGGACAAGACTCTTCACTTGAGAAAAGCACAGAGAAAAGTAAAGGGGACTTTGTCTTGCATCTTAGGTACCAGCACAGCCATGGGGGTAGAATACCAAGTAGGCTCTTGGGGTCCCCAATTCCAGGACTTGGCTCTTGGATTCCAGGACGTGGCTCTTGGATGGCATTTCTGGACCTGCCCTGGACCAGAGGGGGAGTCCACTGTGCTGAGGGGTGACTCCCAGCTAGGCATCATTCACCACAAGCTGACTGAAGAACCCTTGGGTCATAAGGGAACATCCCTGGTACTCTGGCAGTACTCCCTGTAGGCCTGGGTTGTGATGGCCATGGGTTGAGGTTCGTCTGCCTTTGGAAAGGGAAGACTGGGAAGGACTGTGTCTTGTGGTTTGAATGTAAGCTCAGCCCCAGTAAAATAGAATACCAGGTAGGCTGCTAAGGTTTTTGACTGTAGTTCCTGGCTCCCAGTTCTGAAACAGCACTTCTGGATCCACCTGGGGCCTGGGGGAACTTGACATCCTGAAGGGAAGGACACAGACCTGGCCAGCTTTGCCACCCATGGATTGTAGAGCCCTAGGGCCTTGAGAAAGCATAGACAGTAGTCGGGTAGTGGTTACAGTGGACCTTGGTTGAGACCCAGTGCTGTGCTGGTTTAACATCTGACCAAGCACAATCCTGATGGTCGTGGCGATGGGAGTGCTTATGTCACTCCACCCTGAGCTTCAGATGGCTCAGAACAGAGAGGGAGACTATTCATTTGGAAGAAAGTAAGGGCAGTGACAAGAGTCTCTGCTTGGTAATGCAGAAAATTTTCCCAGATATTGTCTAAGACAATCAAGGCAGTATGTCTACAAGTCTGCAAGAACCACAGCGTTACTGGGTTTGGGGTGCCCCTAAAGCAGATACAGCTTAGATCTTAACACCCAAGTCCTTTTTGAATTCCTGGAAAGCATTCCCAAGATGGATGAGAACAAGCCCAGACTGTGAAGACTGCAATAAATAGCTAACTCTTCAATGCCCAGGTACAAATGAACATCTACAAGTAGCAAGACCATCCAGGAAAACAACTTCACCAGATGAACTAAATAACGCACCAAAGACCAACCCTGGAGAAATGAACATATATGACCTTTCAGACAGAGTATTAAAAATAGCTGTTTTGAGGAAAGTGAAATTCAAGATAACAAAGAGAAGGAATTCAGAAGTATATCAGACAAATTTAACAAAGAGATTGAAATAATTAAAAAGAATCAAGCATAAATTGTGGATCTGAAAAATGCAATTGACATATTGAAGAATGCATTAGAATCTTAATAGTAGAATTGATCAAGCAGCACAAAGAATTAGTGAGCTTGAAGGCAGACAGTTTGAAAATACAGTCAGAGGAGACGAAAGAAAAAAGAATAAAAAAGAATGAAGTATGCCTGCAGGATCTAGAAAATAGCTTCAAAAGGGCAAATCTAAAAGTAGTTATTGGCCTTTTACCTCCTAAACCTAGAGAAACATATCAATATCCAAGTATAAGAAGGTTGTAGAACACCTAGCAGATTTAACCCAAAGAAGACTACCTCAAGGCATTTAGTAAACTCCTAAAGATCAAGGATAAAGAAAGGATTCTAAAAGTGGCAAGAGAAAAGAAACAAATAACATACAATGGAGCTATAATACGTCTGGGAGCAGACTTTGCAGTGGAAACCTTACAAGCCAGGAGAGAGTGGCATGACATATTTAAAGTGCTGAAGGAAAAAACCTTTTACCCTAAAATAGTATATCCAGCAAAAATATCCCTCAAACATGAAGTAGAAATAAAGACTTCCTAGACCAAGAAAAGGAATACTTCAATCTGAAAGAAAAGAAAGTTAATGAGCAAGAATAAATCATCTGAAGGTAAAAAACTCACTGATAATAATAAGTACACAGAAAAACAGAATATTATAACACTGTAAATGTGTGCAAACTACTCATA